ATTTGGGGAGCGAACCATCAGAATGGATGACCTCTATCTCTCTGGCTCTACTTCTCTCTGTAACTCTGCCTTTCAAATAAATAAATAAAATAATTCTGAAAAAGGAAGGAAGGAAAGAAAGAAAGAAAGAAAGAAAGAAAGAAAGAAAGAAAGAAAGAAAGGGAGGGAGGAAGGGAAGGAGGGAGGGAGGGAGGAGGGAGGAAGGGAGGAAGGGAGGGAGGGAGGGAGGGAGGGAGGAAGGGAGGGAGGGAGGGAGGGAGGGAGGGAGGGAGGAAGGGAGGGAGGGAGGTAGGGAGGGAGGAAGGAGGAAGGAAGGGAGGAAGGGAGGGAGGGAGGGAGGGAGGGAGGGAGGAAGAATGAGAAAGAAATCTCATCTGCTGGTTCCAAGTGCCTGCCAAGGCCAGGACTGAGCCAGGCTAAAGCCAGAGCCAGGAACTCAGTGCAGGGCTCCCAGGTGGGAGGCAGGGACTGAAGCACCCGGGCTGTCACCTGCTGCCTCCCAGGGTGCGCATTAGCAGGAAGCTGGAGTCGGAAGCGGAGCTGGGCACTCCAGTCTGGGATGCGGCACCCCAGGGACCCCCTTAACCACAGGGGTAAATGCCCACCCCTCCATGAAATGTTTGAGGGCACTTCGTGCAGATCCACGTTTGAAGGCACCTCGGCCTTTTAAAGAAGTTTTATTTGTTTATTTGTCAGGCAGAGAGAGAGAGAGAGAGAGGTCTTCTGCCTACGGGTTCACCCCGCAGGCCTGGGCCAGCTGAAGCCAGGACTGGGGAACTCCACCTGGGTCCCCCACGTGGGTGTGGGAACTCTGGTACCGAAGCATCACTGCTGTCTCGCAGGAAGCTGGAATCAGGAGTGGAGCGGGCCCTGGAGCCCAGGCGCTCTGACGGGGAGGCGGGCGTCCTGAGCGGGCCCTGGAGCCCAGGCGCTCTGACGGGGAGGCGGGCGTCCTGAGCGGCGATTTGACTGCCCTCCACGAACACCCCTTCAAGGGCCCTGGAAGAACCCAAAAATGTCTGAGGGTGAAAGGAAGCAAGGGACCCGGAGGAGGAGTCACAGCCGGACAGCCGACCCCTGTGCAGACTGCACCTGCCCGGCCGCATCTGCAGCAACAGGACAGTGCACCTGCCGGGGGCCCAGCATGGCAGGCAGCTCCTCCTTCCTCCCGGATTCTGCAGGAGGAAGACCACATGCCCCTGCAGCTCACACGTCGCTAGGCAGGCACCGGGGGTCGGTGGCTGTGGCCCAGGTGGGTGCCACCTCTGACAGCCAGAGAGCGGGCTGGGAGGTGTCAGGCTCCGGGCTGCTCTGTGCCGGTGTGTTCAGCCTCCTGGTGGGAGGGACAGGGAGACACTAATGATGGGGCTGCCTCTCCAGGCCCGTGGCTCGTGAGCCACTTCCTGTGGCCAAAGCCAAGTGTGCACTCTGAAAGTTCTCGTCCTCTCTTCCGTCTTGTGTGTGAGGGTCGGACTCTGACCCCTGCTTACAGGGCTCACACTTGCGACAGCAGCCCAAGTCCCTCGTGACGTCACTGTGAGCCAGCTTCCTGTTTTCAGGTGGGCTTGTGCCACACGAGCGGATGAGGGGCTGCGTTTTCACCCGAGCTGTCTTGGGATCCGGGTGAACCACGCTGAACTCTGGCCATCTCGGAAGCAGGGAGCGCTTCCCGGCTGCTGTGGCTCGGCGCCTGCTCCATCCTCTGGGCTGGCCTGGGTGAGGCCGCCCCAGCCTGCGCCGAGCCCACTCAGGCGGCTTTCTCCCCACTCCTGCCCCATTGTCTGCAGCACCGAGTCCCAGCTCCTTCACATACACCTCACAGCCCTCAAGTGTCTGGCCCGAACTTTTTTTTTTTTTTTTTTAAGTTTATTTATTTATTTATTTGAGAGGCATGCCAGCCTAAAGCCAGGAGCCAGGAGCTTCTTCTGGGTCTCCCATGTGGGACTTGGGCCATCTTCTACTGCTTTCCCAGGCCATAGCAGAGAGCTGGATGGGAAGTGCAGCAGCTGGGACTGGAACCAGCACCCGTATGGGATGCCAGCACCACAGGTGGTGGCTTTACATAGCCACTACGCCTCAGCACCGGCCGGCCATCGGCACAAACTCGCAGCCACAGCCTGACTGCCTGGCGGAGGCCTGTGTCCTGGGCCTGCCCTGTGCCACCCGCCCCTTTTGGTGAGCACTGATGGCCTTTGCATGCCCTGTGGAGTGACACTTCACGCCTGCCTGCAGGCCATCCTTCCCCTGCCCAGCCTGCAGCCTGCAGGCAAAAGCTCTTGCCCGGGCTGCGCCCCCGGCCCCAGGGTGCCCAGTGGTGCAAGCGCCAGGCCCACGTGGGCATAACTCCTGCTGGCTCTGCCGCCCACACCCTATGCCTGCCTTCGTCAGAGATCAAAATCAGATCTTCACGTATAATCTTATACTCATGCTGCAAGTCTCAACACAAGACGACGTGTTCGCATCACAGATAAAACCGGAGGCCAGAGCTGGCCGAGAGCTGGGGAAATGGCCGGGAGCTTTCCCAGCCACTGCGTGTTTATCAGTAAACACAGCTCATTCCGGCCTGTGGGCACAGACCCAAGCTTGTGTTTTAAAGGGACAGAAAGGGAGGGAGAGACCTTCCATCGGCTGGTTCACTCCCCCAAAAGGTCACAACCACCAGGGCTGGGCCAGGCTGAAGCCAGCAGCCAGGAACTCCGCTGGGTCTCCTGTGTAGTAGCAGGGGTCCAAGTGCTCGGCCACCGTGTGCTGCCTTCCCAGGTGCATTAGCGGGAGCTGGATGGGAAGTGGAGCAGCTGGAACTTGCTGCTGGTGTTGCAAACTGTGGCTTCACCCGCTTCACCCCAGGCCAGCCCAAGACCCGCAGGATCCTAAACAGCTTTGGGAAGGCAGTGGGGGCTGCCAGTGTCCTGGTTTTTCCAAGTCCAAGCCCTAGCAGCGATTGTTTGCTAGGAAGGGCCTTCTCAACAGCAGCAAAAGCACATAAACACGGGGCACTTCAAAAAGTTCACGGAAAGGAAATTAGAAGGTAAGTTTGGGGTAAAAACGTCTTCAAATCCCTGTGTGGTTTTCTCCCGGCACATTTTCCATGAATGGGTTAGAGACCTCAGGTCTCCACCGTGAGCAGTCTATCCCTTTAGGCCATGTAGGTGTATGGGAAACTGCGCCAGCCATGTTGGTTTTTCCCTCCCCTTTGATGAAGATCAGGGAGACCCTGGTCCAGTTCTTCTGAGTGAGCCTGAGGCCGAGCGGTGCTGATGGGACGCCCCTGCACCTGCTCAGCCCCGATCACAGACCACCCCCGCCCCCGGTTTGTGAAAGACAGACAGCAGGGTGGGTGTGGGATGGCTGGCAGAGCGGCAGCCGGGCCCTGGGGCCTCCATCTGGGAGGTGAGAGTCCCTGTCAGCTGCTCTGAGCGACGGGGCTCGGCGGGGACACAGGCATTGCAGAGACGGTGCCCAACTGGACAAGAGCTGCACAGGCAGGGGGCAGCTTGGGCACCTGGAGGGGTGCCAAGCAGGCTTCCTGGAGGAGGTGAACCCTGGCAGAGCCCTCAGCCAGTGGTCATGTGTCCCGAGGATGAGCCAGCGGTCCGGCCTGCCCGGCGCGCTCCCCACAGCAGGCATCCCGCCCACTCTGTGGTGAGGCGCCTGGGACCGGAGGTTGCGGTGAGTCAAACAAGGGGCGAGCATGTGAACCCAGTTCTGTTGGACCCCAGGGGGAGGGCGTGCCAGGCGGCGGTGGTGAAGAGCTTCTACCCTGCGCTCACAGCCGCGCCCCTTCTCTGCCCACAGCACGTGCCTGAAGCTGAGGCTTGTACCAAACCCTTTCCCAGGGGCCCTGAAATCCTGCAGAAATGGTGGGTGCATCTCCGTTGCTTGCACCCAAGTAAATTATCTGTGGTCCCTTCCTAGGAGCAAAAAGTCCTCTCACGTGCACCATGGCTCGTCCATACGGTCTGAACATTCACACCCAAGAGGTCGGTCCCCGGGCAAGTCGGAGATCAAGGATGACCACAGCCACGGTTAGAGGCTCCTGACGGTCTGGACCCTGGATGGCTGAAGGCGTAGGAAGGGGAGCAGCAAACAAGGGGAGCTACTGTGCTGTGCACCCTACCCTCACCCCACCTCTGCACCCTGCCATCACCCTACTGTTGCACCCCACCCCACCTCTGTACTCCCACCTCTGCACCCTGCCCTTACCCCACTCTCACCCCACCTCTGCATCCCTCACCCCTGCACCCCTCCCTCACCCCACTTCTGCACCACCCACCTCTGCACCCCCTCCCCCCAGCTCTGCACCTCCCATCTCCCTTCACCCCACCCTCACCCTACCTTTGCGTCCCCACCTATGTGCCCCACTTCACCCCTGTTGCACCCCACTCCAGCCCTGCACCCCACCCTCACCCCACCTTTGCAGCCCTCCCTCACCCCACCTCTGCACCCCACCCTCTCCCCTACTGTTGCACTCCACCTCACCTCTGCACCCCTCACCCCTGCACCCCCCCTCACCCCACCCCCCCCCACCCCGCCGTCGGCCCCCGGGGCTGCAGGGGTCACTGCAGAGCTGGTTTCCACAGAGCAGAACGTCTTTTGTGGAGCAAATGTGCTCACATGACACGGTGTGGTGAGATCCCCGAGGCCCTGGCCGCGCGCTCGGGACTGAAGCGGCCCCTGGAGCCTAAGCCGGCTGGCACGGAGCAGTGTCCACCCCCAGCAGGGCTCGTCTCCCGGGAGGGGCAGGAAGGCCGTGTCGCTGTGGCTGGGCCCCGACCTCCTCAGGAAGGTGAGTTGGCTGCTGGTCCACGTTGAGCTGAGGGTTACTCATGAAGGGGGAGGAGCCTCCGTGACGGCAGCAGTTTCTGGGCCCGCAGAAGGTTCTGGGTCCTGCACACCAAGAGTGCGTAGTTTCACCCGGGTGACAACCACTGGTTAACACGCGTGACTTCTGTGTTACCAAGCTGATGGGGTCAGGCCCTGGCTTAAAACCCTTCATACTGGGGCCAGCACCGTGACGCAGTAGGTTAATCCTCCGCCTGCAGCGCCGACATCCCATATGGGCACCGGTTCGAGTCTCGGCTGCTCCACTTCCCATCCAGCTCTCTGCCACGGCCTGGGAAAACAGTGGAAGATGGCGCAAGTCCTTGGGCCCCTGTGCCAACACGGGAGACCCAGAAGAAGCTCCTGGCTCCTGGCTTCAGATCAGCTCAGCTCCAGCCATTGCGGCCATTCGGGGAGTGAACCAACGGAAGGAAGACCTTTCTCTCTGTCTCTGTCTCTCTCTCACTGTCTGTAACTCTCAAATAAATAAAATCTTAAAAAACCCGTCATACTGAGCCAGCCTCTCCACCAGGCCGCAAGCCCCACCCCGCCAGTCCACCCTGCCAGTCCACCCTGCCAGTCCACCCCGCCAGTCCACCCTGCCTCCTGCTACAGCTTCTGCACATGCTGCCTCGCCGTGGGACTCTGGTTCTGCCAGAGGCTGAGCCATGCACAGGCGCCCCAGGGGCAGGCACTGTAGACGGAGTTCTCTGTCCCCTTGTGAGGTGTTGTCCATCCTGGACACTGGTTTCCTCTCCTGCAAGACGGAGGCAAACCCAGCTGAGGTCCAAGCCTTAACGGGATGATCACTGGCCACCTGGCCCCGGGAGGTTTCCATCAGTACTAGGCCGGCGGCTGAGTCCAGGCCCAGCCACCAAGCACCTACTGGTCACTGTTAGGAGACCCCCCACCCCGACCTGAGGGCACACTTCCAAGTGACCAGAGGCCACTGCCCCGACCCATGACACTGGCTGCACAAACTCCAACTGGACAGGAGGCTCTGCAGATCAGCAAAGGGCAATCCAGTGACCCTCGGAGGCCCGGGGCAGTTCCTGGAAAAGTGCTTACCTAAGTGACAGGGTAATCAGCCGGCGGCCAGGACCCCTGGCCTGAGGGGCACACTTCACTCGAGCGGCTGGAGCCCTCGCGTTCTCTCTGAACTCGGACGCCTCGCTCCACCTGCTGCTGGTACGGAGCAGCAGGCCCCATCACTGCAGCTCCCCGCTCCTCGTCTGCATGGCCCAACTTCCTGCTTCTCTCCCGGAGCCCACAGCTGCTCTGGCTGGGTGGGCAGCTCTGGGGTGCAGGAGCGTCTCAGCAGGGCAGCTGAGGGCCTCTCAGACCTGCCTTCTGTCCCGGGGCCTGAAGCTGGCCCACAGGACCGGTCAGCTGGGGCCTCTCTCTCGACAGTCTCCTTACTGTAACGTGAGCAGGTTAAAACCCACCTCTGGGGACATCTTCAGAGTGGGAGACGTGGCAAGGGACCCGAGACGGCATGGAAGCCATGAAGTCGGAGCCCTCCAGAGAGGAGCCTGGGCGGTGCCCAGAGACATTCTCCAAAGCACTGGTTGCCCCCGATGCTGTAGATTTGTACTCAGTCCCCACGCGGGCGGCGTTATGTGCTGTCCACGTCCGGTCAACGCTGGTGGAGGCAAAGACAGAGGGACGGGCCGACTCCAGGGGCTCGGGCCGCAGCGCTGCCCTGTGTGACAGGTCCTCCCATGCTGGGGGTGTGACAAGTGACAAGCTCCTGGCTGCACACAAAAGGCTGATTCTGAAGGGGTGGGGGCATCCCGGAAGTGACCCCCGCAGGAAGCAGGGCCAGAGCTTTGTCTGGCCGGGACACTCCACGAGAAAAGTCCCCAGCTTCCCTCTACCTTCAGGACGCCGGCGGAGGTTGGCCGAGAGCCTTGGTTCAAAAGTGGCATATCTACCACCAAAGTGCTGGCATCCCATATGGGCGCCGGTTCGAATCCTGGTTGCTCCACTTCCAATCCAGCTCCCTGCTAATGCGCCTGGGAAGGCAGTGAAGATGGCCCAACTGCTTGGGCTCCTGCACCCATGTGGGAGACCCGGAGAAAGCCCCCGACTCCTGGCTTCGGCCCAGCCTCTGATGTTGCGGCCATTTAGGGAGTCAACCAGTGGATGGAAGATATCTATCTTGAGCTCTCTGCAACTCTTTCAAATAAATAAAATAAATCTTAATAAGAGAAGTGACATCTCCCAACGCATGGTTCACAAACAAGTTTTCTCTCCTAAAGCTTTGGGAACCCCGAGAACCCAAGAATATCACTTTCTACATCTGTGGAGTGCGCACCTGGGAGATTGAAGCCCGTATGTCCTTTGCAGGCATCCATAATTCTTGCCAGGTCTCTCCCACCACTTGGTGGCACTGGGTGCAGGGCGACCACCAGGACACACACACACACACACACACACCCCTGTCTTGAGACTCTGCGCCCTGGGGTGAGCCAGGAAACACCCACGCGGCCAGGATGTGGCCCACCGAGGGCAGGAAGCCCACCTGCTGCTGGGTAACCAACACAGCTTGGGTCCGCCGGGGAGCTACCAGGGTCTGTGTTCAGCCTGGCTCTGGAAGGCGCACAGACTGGCATTTGCTGGCCGGCGTGCGCAGGTAGAGTTGGGCAGGCCCGATGGAGCGTGGGTGTCCAGGGGGTGGGGCAGAGTTCACAGCAGTCCCAGCTAACCGACAGGAGTGACTTTCCAAGAAGCTTGCGAAATGGCCCCAAGGCCAGGGTCTGCAGCCCCTGCGCGGCGCGGTGACCTGGGTGGAAGCCGCGCCCGCTCACTTACGAGGTCACCCCGGGAGCCCGCCGCCGCGGCGCTGGGCGGACATTGCACAAGTTTCGTTCCCGCGGCAAGGGGCTCTGCGCGCTGTCCCCTCAGCCTCGCCACTGGCTGCGGGGCCGCGACCTCCCAGTGCGCTGGCAGGGCCCGCGCGCCTCGCTGGGCACAAAGTCCTCTCTCACCCCCAGGGAACCGGCAGCCGGGGCGGGGGTCGGAGCTGGCGGCGCCTCCCCGCCCTGTCCCCGTTGCCCTTCACACTCGTGCCCACGGCCTGGCACCTCCGCCACCTGCTGACGCGTCCTGGGGCTCTCGGAACGCCCTTCCCCGTCCTCCCGCCCCGCACCCCACGGACTCCCGAGACCCTAGGCACCGGTCCCCGGGCCCTGGCCAAGACCCCCTCGTCGCGCCGTGCGGAGCCGAGTTCCGCGAGCGCTCAGGGCCTCGCCAGCGCGGCACGGGCGCCCGGCGGGACCCTCGCCTCCCCTTCCCCGCCCCCCACGCCAGCCATCCGCGGGGCGACCTTGGGCAGTCCCTTTGCCTCCCGGGCCTCAGTTTCCCCCAGCTCCGCGGCTGCGGGGCGCGCAGTGGGAGTCGCGAGGGCTGTCCCGGCCCCGCCCCCGCCGGCGGCCAATCGGGCGCCGCCGTCCGGTGGGTGCGTCCCGCGCGGGGCCGCGGCCGGGGCCCGGGGCGGGGCTTCCGGGTCGGTCCCGCGCGGCCGGACCGGGCGGGGCGCGCCGAGGGGCGGCGCGTGGCGCGGGCGGGGCGCGGCTGGCACGGGCGGGCGGAGGCGGCGCCGGGCAGGGCCGGGACGCGGCGGCCCCACGGCGCGGGCAAGGGGCGGCGGGGCGGAGGCGGCCGCTAGCGCCCGGCCTGGCGCCGCCTCCCTCGGCGCTCGCCCCGCGGACCAGCAGGCGGCGGACCGCGGGCCCAGGTGCCGGGGGTGGGCGGCGCGAGCGGGGTCCGCGGCGCGGGCCGGGCCGGGCCTCTGCTGCCCCGGGCCGAGAGGGCGGCGGACGCGGACGGGAGGGGCCGGGCGGCGCATGCGCATGGTCCGGGGGCGCGGGGCGAGGGCACTCGCCGGGGACCCGAGTAGGGTCCCGGGACCAGGGGCCGCTCTCGCTCGGTGCCCCTCCAAGCGCCCGAGGCTGTCGGCGGAGCCGGAGACCTCCTGACGCTGGGTCCTTCGGTGTCCCCTGGGAGGCCAGGCCCGCGGCGGGGACGTCGGTGCGCTGTGGAGTTCGAGTGTCACAGAGCTGGGGGCGTTTTCGAGACCCCCAGGGACCCCCGAGGCTAGGTAACTCGTGTCCCGGACAGACTCTCGGCGCCGGTGCGCGCCGTCCTGCAGCCCGACGGGGACACGCGCGCGCGGTTGCTGTCGCGCGCCTGGGCCCCTGTGCGCCGGGCGCCGTGGGCAGCCGCGGGTTCCCCGGCAGGTTCCGCTGGGCTGCGAGGTGTCTTTCCTGTCCCCGGCCTCCCGCGGCTCCTCGGGACCGGTCCGGCCTGGCCCGCTGGAGCGGGTGCAAGGTTGGGAAGGGGGGGTCGGCTCTACCCAGCGCCCACCCTGGTTGGTGGGGGGACCATGGCACGCCCCCACGTTACCCAAACCCCTGTTTAAAAAAAAGTTGAAGAGATGTGCCCCAAATGTCAGGGTTCTTTCTAAGAAAACTCCAGGACTGGGCAGTAGGTGGAGCGCTCTCGGCCGGCTGGGTCTGCACAGGCACCGCGACCCCTGCCACCCCCATTCCCAAGGGAATCAGGGCGCCCCCCGCCCCGCCCCCGCTCGCAGGGCTGCTGGCTGGTAGGGAGGAGGAGCACGGGGCTTCACTGAGAACGACCCTGGGCGAAGGCAGGGTCACCGTGACTTTCCCCTTGCAAGGGCCGGAGGCTGGGGGGCATCCAGGGAACACATTGTAACCGTCTCGTCCTGTCCCTCCTCAGCCAGGGCTGGAGTCCCGGGCCCTGCCTCTGGGAGAAGTGACAAGCTCAGAAGCAAGGCGGTGTCACCGAAGGTAAACAGAGTTTGATTTCAGTCTCCAGGGTGAGGTATGGAAGGGTCTGTTTCCACTGCAGTAAGTTTGGGGGTTAATGGTTTCTTTGTGATGCAAAGCTTTCATGTCTTTTCCCTGTGTCCCAGGAGACCCCGGGATAGGTTTGCTTCTGGGTTCTGAGTTGGGGAGTTCTGATGTGGGTTTGGCTGGCTGCTTTCCTGTGATTCACAGGGAGATGCGGTGACTCTGAGAAGCAGTGCTACTCAGCGGGCGCTGGGGAAGGGCTGTTGTCGTGTGGGGAGACTGCAGGTGACCTGGGGGTCGGGGTCAGCTCCAGAGCCGCAGGCCTGGTGTGGGAGGGTGTGCGTGGTCGCTGCGCACCCCACAGCGGTCTCCAGGACTGGGAGCAGAAGCTCGGGAACTGACGGTGGAGGAGGAGGTTTTCTGTTTGCTCAAGTCTGACACGCCTGACCAAGGTCCACCAGCATCATAAAGCAGCCCCTTGCGTGCCCCTTGCGTGCGTGGAAACTGTGTTTCTTGGCAAATACTTTGTGGCTGCTTCATCCCCGGACGCAGCTTCCAGGTGAATGAAATGCGCCTGCATTTGTCTAATACTCCATTACATTTAGATACAATAATTATTTAGCCGGTCCCTGTAGAGACAAGGCTACTGCAGAAAGTTTGTGGAAAGCCGAAACTGAGAAGATGTGAAACTTGTGCGTGGTTTGCTCATAATGGGCATTTTCCACGCACTCTTGGAAAGCCTTTCATATGCACAGATTTCAGACTTTTCTTTTTGTAAAGTGAACTTTTAATTCCGCTTTCCACAGACTTTTAAAATAGGCTCATCATATAGATACTTCCGGAGTGGCTGCTGTGGGCTACTGTGCCCAGTGTTGAACGAGACCCCCGCGGACCTCTGGTGAAACTGGGTTCCATACTAGAGTATAGACAAAAGCTCACAGATTGTCACCCTTGGTCAGGGTGAGGGGCAGGTGGGCAGGGAGGGGACATTTTGGCAGGGCTGCTTTGTGCGTTGGGTTGGCGGTTGGTGACCTGGGCCCTTTCTCTTGCCTGCTGCCCATAAGCGCCTGTGTTTTATATATATGTATACGTGTGTGTGTGTATACATACATATATATATACATGGATTTATAATAATCCTTTTAAAAACACATTAATCACAATGTTTCGTTGTCGAAAATAAAGTTTGAACATGCCAATTTTTCTCTTTTGCCTTTCATAGACTGTGTGTGAGTGGGGAAATTCTTCATGGCAAATGGGATGCGTGGCTTTGCTTCCAGGTGGCTGGGTCTTAGCTTCACGGCATGCTAAGGGTGTGGCCCTGCAGTTAGTGCAAGTGGCCTGAGGCTGCTCTCTTGGAATGTGAGGGTCTCTGTTGCGCTTTCTGGTTTCCGTGGCTTGGGATGGAGTCAGTGTTTCACAAGGCATGGCATCTGTCCCTTCAGCCTTATTAGTTACGTAGGGGAGCGAGGTCACCTTGCAGGCCGCGTGGCTGGGGAAACCCCAGCTCAGAATCTGATTTTCCAGTTTGGTGAGAGGAAGGCTTGAAGTGAGGACTAAGTAGCAGAGGCGGCGAATCGGAAAGAACTTGTCTCCTCCACGTGTCGGAGTCGTTGGCCTGCCCTGAGCTGTGCTGTGCGCTGGAAGCTTCCAGTCTGCTCCATGGCCAACAGGCAGTCCCCCAGGCTGGTGGCGTGTCCTCTGCTCCTGCCCCGTGTGTGGCCACATTCTGGGACTTGGAAGAGGAGCTCGTGCAGCCCTTGCTCTGGCCGGGGGTGCCCTGGTGTGGTGATCTTGGTAGTTGAGCTGCATTTGATTGGATGGTATAGGATGAGGTCTTTGAAAGGTCTGGTGTGGGGGCCGGCACCGCAGCTCACTAGGCTAATCCTCCACCTGCGGCGCCGGCACACTGGGTTCTAGTCCCGGTCGGGGCGCCGGATTCTGTCCCGGTTGCCCCTCTTCCAGGCCAGCTCTCTGCTGTGGCCCGGGAGTGCAGTGGAGGATGGCCCAGGTGCTTGGGCCCTGCACCCTATGGGAGACCAGGAGAAGCACCTGGCTCCTGGCTTTGGATCAGCGCGGTGCACCAGCCGCAGTGCACTGGCCACAGCGGCCACTGGAGGGTGAACCAACGGCAAAAGGAAGACCTTTCTCTCTGTCTCTCTCTCTCACTGTCCACTCTGCCAGTCAAAAAAATAAAAAATAAAAAAAAAGAAAGGTCTGGTGTGGGCAAGAGGAGGCAGTTTGGGGCTAGGCATTGTTAGGACGTGAGTGGCGAGCTCTGGGTTTTAGCCCCTTTGCTGTTCCAGCCCGGCGGGAGGCCTCCGTGCACTTCCTCAAACCGTTATTTTCTCCCCCAGAAAATGGAGTTCCTGCACACGCTGCAGGTGTCGTGGGGACGCAGACCTGCTCCATCGCCTGCCTCCCTCGCCCAGCCAGGTCCACCCGCCCGGTTCCTCCGCCCTGGCCATTCTGTGACCTTTCACACTCTCGCCCTCAGACATACCCAAAACTTGTCGAGTCCCCCGCCAATCGCACCCAAACCATGCCGAGTGCTTCCAGTTGGTTTTGAACGTGAGGATTTGGTGGTGGCACATTTTGCCTGTGTCCCCATGCCACCGTCTGCCCCTCCTCCGCAGGGCGTCTGCTGAAGTCCGGGCTTGGTGAATCTGCCTGCACTCAGACCTGCGCGTGGAGCCATGGCTGAGTGCTGCCCTGCCTTGGGGCTCCTCGTGGGCCCGGCTTTCCCCCCTGGGTCCGCCTCGCTGGGGGAGGGTGTGTCTTGGTCACTTCTGCCCCACTTGCCCTGCTTTTGTAGCTGGCAGCTTACCCCCATCCCTTAGCGACAGGGCTCCCACACCCCCAGCTTCTGTGGCTTCCTTGGGGCAAGAGCTGTTCTTCTGAGGCCTGGGCAGGTGTCCCCACTGGGCACCACTGGGGCCGCCATTGCAATGGTGTTGGGAAAGCGGTGGTTGCGGTAGAAACGATTTTATTGGTAACTAAGTTTGGCAAATATTATGCATTAAATAGACTTCCAACGAGATGGCCTGAGGATCTGTTGAAATAAAATGTCGTTGGCCGGCGCCGCAGCTCACTAGGCTAATCCTCCGCCTTGCGGCGCCGGCACACCGGGTTCTAGTCCCGGTCGGGGCGCCGGATTCTGTCCCGGTTGCCCCTCTTCCAGGCCAGCCCTCTGCTGTGACCCAGGAAGGCAATGGAGATGGCCCAGGTGCTTGGGCCCTGCACCCCATGGGAGACCAGGATAAGTACCTGGCTCCTGGCTTCGGATCAGCGCGGTGCGCCAGCCGCAGCAGCCATTGGAGGGTGAACCAATGGCAAAAAGGAAGACCTTTCTCTCTGTCTCTCTCTCTCACTGTCCACTCTGCCTGTCAAAAAAAAAAAAAAAAAAAAAAAAAAAAAAAAAAAAAAAAAAAGAGAGAGAGCGAGAAATAAAATGTTGTTTCTTTTTTTTTTTTTAATTCTATTTATTCAAGAGGCAGAGACAGAGGGACAGCGAGAGCGTTCATCCACTGATAACTCCCCAGATGCCCACAGTGGCCCGGGCTGAGCTGGGAACTCAGTCCAGGTCTCCAGTCAGGTGGCAGGAACCCAGTCAATCGCCTGAGCTGGCACCACTGCCGCCCAGGGCTTGAATAGCAGGACATTGGGATCAGGAGCCAGAGCGAGGCTTGCCCGGAGCGTCCTGACAGGCGGTGCAGGCCTCTTCACCGCTGGCAGGGAAGCGGCTGCTGGACATCCGCACCCCCATCACAGCCGCTGGCTTCCAGTCGCACCTCCACTTCCAGTCCCGCTTCCTGCTCGCGCACGCCTGGGAAGCGGCAGTGACGGCTCCAGCACATGGGTCCCTGTCACCTACATGGGAGACCCAGACGGAGTTCCTGGCTCCTGGCCTTGGCCTGGCCCAGCTCCAGCTGTTGTGGGCCTTTGAGGAATGAGCCAGTGAATGTGGTCAGAAGACTGATCTCTGCTTCTCCCTCTTTCTCACTCTGCCGTTCGATAAACAAATAAATAAGTAAAAGTTTTTTCTCCTGCTCTTTCTTCTGTAAGACCAAGGATTCAAATTCCAAACAAGTGACTTGGTAGGAAAGGGATCTGGCTAAACTCTGGGGAGCTGGGATGTGCTCACACTCAGTAGGGTAAGGGCCTGCTCGTGCCTCAGTGGTGGAGATGAGATGTGCCTAGAATTCAGAGAAAGCACGGATTCGCTATTTTCTGCGTTGCAGGGCATCGTAGTTATCTGGCTGCTTCTCTTTTGCTCTGTTGGTAGAGATTTTCAAAGAGAGGGGAGAGTTCTTTGCATTGCACTGTTCAGAGACCACAGGTAAACTTTAAAGTGCATCCTTTGGGTGGTAAGCACTGAGAGTGCCTTGGGGACTCATGGCTTCATGTGGCTGATTTGAGACTAGAAGAGGGTTAGGTAGATGTGCACAGTAGCTCCTCTTCCTCACCCCTTTTTTATGCTTTTTACAAACTTTTAAAAAAATTCTATTTGAAAGAGAGGAAGAGGCAGAAAGGGAGAGACCTTCCATCTGCTAGTTCACTCCCCAGATAGCCGCCTCGGCCACAGCTGGGTCAGGCTGAAGCCAGGAGCCAGGAACTCGATCTAGGTCTCCCAGGTGGGGGGCAGGGGGCTGAGCACTCGGACCATCTTCCGCCGCTGTCCCAGGTGCATTAGCAGGGAGCTGGATGGAAGCAGAGCAGCCAGGATTCAAGCTGTGCCCTGTATGGGATGCTGGCACCACAAGTGGCAGCTGGACCCACGACACCGCAACACCCCAGCCCAGCTTTCTCGTTGTTAAGGGTGAGTGAGGGGGCCGGCGCTGTGGTGCAGCAGGTAAAGCCGTTGCCTGCGGTGTCAGCATCCCACATAGGCACCGGTTTGAGTTTCAGCTGCTCCACTTCTGATCCAGCTCTCTGCTGTGGCCTGGGAAAGGATTAGACCATAGTATAAGTGGTTGGACCCCTGCACCCATGTGGGAGACCTGGAAGAAGCTCCTGGCTCCTGGCTTCAGA